CCTATATCGTATCTTATCTTATATCCATTCTTATCTTACTTTATCTTTTCTTGTCTTATTTTGTCATCTTTCATCTTCTCTTCTCATCTTAACATATTCATCTATATTGCATCTTACCTTATCTTAACATATCTAATCTCATCATCTCATCTCATTTGATCATAGTGCAGTTCTAAAAAAAAATAGCCATTCTGTATATTGACCAGAGGAAAACATTATATTATTTTCATTAAAGCTAATAAGAAATTTTTAAAAAATCAGGTAATGAGAAATGTTGGGGGATAATGAGTAGCGTTGGGAGACAAGGAAATAAGTGAAACTTTTAGTCATTTCTAGTTCTGCTCACTGACCAACAGTTAGTTAAGTGACATGTTTTGTTCTTTCTGAAAGCAGATAAAAATGACAAACAATGTGAGTAAAGTGCAGTAATATAAAATTTTTGTTCAAATTCAATTCATTGGAAATAATTAAAACTAGTAGTATATTTTAAAACACAAACTATTACAAATCTGAAAATCTCAGCTAAAAGAAATAGGGGAAAATGGGTTTTCAATTTCATTTAAAGTCAGTTGCTTTAAAATGTCAGTCAAGTCAGGTTAAAAGACAGATTTAATTGAGTTTACTTGGTATTCCTTTGGATGGAAGATTTTACTGATCTGGGGGAAGGAACTGCCCTGAACTGGTTGATCTTGTAGAGAGATGAGCTGAGCTAATCTGATTCTTTTGCTGTATGTAGTTAATTACCTTCTTCTTTATAATTTCCCATTCCCATTTAGCTAACTCAACCTTCAAGATCTTCCCCATTTTTCTTCTAAGATGACTTAGATAACATACTGCATAGGCAATTTCTAGCCTATGAGTACATATGCAGCCCTTGGAGGCCTTTTGTCTTTTATACTGATGCAAGAGTCAGTCTTGATTTTCATAGCTTCATATTTCTGAAGTTTTGATGGAAAAAAAAAAGAACATTCCTGTAAATTGAACAACATCTTTTATGGAGCAAATCATCATTTGATTCATATGAACCTGCAGTTTTTGTAAAGGGGTTTCTCTCTCTTTATATATTTAACAGACAAACATTTTCATCCAAATAGAGGGAGGTGACCTTGAATTCCGCCTTTCCCAACATAACTACACTTCTGACAGCTTAGATTTAAATGGAAGAAGACAGTGTATGCAAAGAAATACCCTGCCTGCATTTTAATTGCACATTTCCTGTTCTGCCCAGGTTGGCAGGGTATGGAGGGTATATAACAATGTATTGTTATGCATAAACCTCACAGCAGAGTCCACAGGGTTTATCCAAAAGCAAAAATGATGGTAACATCAAAGCTTTGATTACACTACCATAGCTGCCATGTTGAATTTTCTTGACCACACTCTGTGAAGAGACCTGCCATTTTACATCTGCAGGCCAATATGGAAGGGGATACAATATGTTTGTATGTGTTGGGTTAGGAGAAATCACAGAAGTCACAGGAAACAGAAGCCTACAGTACTGAAGTGTGAAGTCACACGATATCAGGCACTACTTTAGGCCTCTGTTCCCTGAGAATACACTGAAGCAGGGAAAGGAACTGGCAGCTTGCTAGATCATCACAAGGTAAGTGAGCAGCAGAGATGGTATTCAGCAGGTTCTGACCAGTTCTGGCAAACCAGCAGCAGAAATTTTGAGTAGCTTGGAATACCACCTCTGACTGGCTCTGTCCCCATCTATTCTCTGCCTCCTGAGTTCCAGCTGATCATCTGGGTCTTCTTTTGCTGCCCTGCACAGGAGAACAGAGCTGGAAAGCAGGTTAGTAGGGTGGGAAGAGAATGGGGATTTTATAGTATCCTTCCTCTGCCGTGTTCTCCAAGCCACGCCCACAGAACTGGTAGTAAAAAAAATTGAATCCCACCACTGTTCCACAGGCCCAGTACCTGTGGAGACCAGACAGGGGGCGGGTGGCAGAATACACAGGGTGAATGATGCAGTCTCTGTGGTCATTCATAAGTATGAACAACTGCTGTAGTACTGCAACATTCACAACTTTGGGACTGTGTTGTAAGTACTTGTGTCAAGAGTGATTTGCTCTTTCACCTAGTTACTTTTTCGCTCTCAACTTGACAATAATTGGGGGGTGGGTGATTGGAATGTTGGGATAGGAATGGAGTGCCAAGACTCCATCTGCAGTTGTGAGACCCTGCTGCCAACACCAAGGTCACACTGCACAGGTGTTTGAACAACCCAGCCCTTCTCATAACAAAAGAAGTAGATTCAATTGGACAATGCAATGAACTGAGGGGGATGGCCAAAACAAAAAAGTACATTTAATTATGTGGGCTTTCATGCAGGAAACGCAGAGCTGGTTTTGCTTCTTCTGTGCCAATGTAGTGTATTCAATAAAGCTTTACTTTTGGGAACCACAATATCCCAGGAGTTCTCTTTTTGGATTTTCTAGTTGGACAACTGACACTAAACCAGCTCCCGCATCTACTGTGGCCTACCTGGACCCCTCCAGGAAAGTTGTGATATTGAGATGTTGGCAGCTGACAAGATGGTGGATGGCGGATTGAAACTGGCAGAATCCCCCCTCTGAAAGGTGCTGACAGCAGTCCAAGCAGGGCCTGGGCACCAGCTGATTGGCAAATGCTTTAAGCAGGGGGCCAAGAAACTGGAGCAGCCATTTGTACAAGGAGGAGAGGTGGCACTGGAAGCTCATTGCCCTAGGAAAAAGGGGCAGAGGGATTGCACAGTGTGGTTGGTGTAACTCTATGATGAGGGCCCCCTCCCAGAGCTGATGAACATGGATTCCTTCATGCAAGAAATGCAATACAGACTGGAGGACTCCACAGTGAGCAGAGGCCAGGATCCACTACATTCAGCAAGAGAAATGGCCAGTCGCAGAATACATTCAAGAGTTTTGCAGTTTGGTGGCCCAACTGAGAGGATGGCCTAAACCCCTGCTTGTCTACCAGTTCCAGGATGGCCTGAACTGGGAACTGTACCAAAACTTCTTACTCCAAGGGGTGCCTAATGACCTCTGGACATGGTACTAGTTGGCCACTAACATGGAACTATACCTGACGGAGTACCAACAACATGCTATATATAAGAGTCACCCCCACCAGATAGCCAAGAGATGCCCTGCAGCCCAGTGGGGAAGGGGAGTGTTTCTGATGTGGGAAGAAGACCACTGAGCAGCTGACGTCCCTGCCCTGCATCCAGCATATGATCATGAGCCCCAGCCCAGCCAAAGGTGAAGAAGCCACTGGCAAAGCTGAAGGAGAAGACACATGTTGCACAGCAGGAGACCTGTCCCCCCAATCCAGTGAGAGGGGAGGGAACTCTGACCCCTGACAAGCCTGGCATGGCTTTCTACAAGAGAGACAGTGAGGAGGAAGATGACCTGATGGTAAATGGCACCATCATCCCGATGGCTGCCAGGAAGGAGATCTTAATGCCCTACTTGGGAGTAAAGGGCACCCTCATGGCCCTATTAGACTTGGGGTGCACTCGGTGCCTGATCAGCTTGTTGATGGTGGAAAAGTTGGGGTTAAGACTCGGGAGGCTAAGGCAGCCCGTGGGATTTGAACAGTTAGATGGTTCACTTATGGAAGGGAAGGTTCCATTGATTTATCTGACACAGCCAGTGAACTTAAGGTTCGGAAACCATGTAGAGACTTTCTATTTTATTGTGTCCTCTGGAATTACAGATTATGATATTGGCACTAGCCTGGATGAAGATCCAGAAGTGCATTGGGACAACAAGTGGTGCATGAGAAGAAATACAGCTAAGCACCAGTATCTGAGTAAAGCACCAGATTCCAGCCACAAGTTGGCAGTTAGGAAAGTGAAAGCAGAGCCAGCTAAGATGCTAACAGAGGGTGAGGCATTACAGCCACTTATTCCAAAGGAATACTGCAATCTTGCTGAAGTGTTTAGTGAAAGGGAATTGGATGTGCTGCCATCCCACTGCCCCATGGACTGTGCCATTGAAATCATGCCAGGAGCTAAATTGCCAAAGCCAAAGATGTATTCCACGATGCCCAGGGAGATGGAAGAGCTTCGGAGTGTTATAGACAAGAACTTTACCAGGGGCTTCATCCAGCTCGCCAAATCAAGAGTAGCAGCCCCTGTGTTTTTCAAGAAAAAGATGGGTCCCAGAGGATGTGTGTGAATTATAGGGGGATAAATGTCATTTATGCAGAGGACATGTACCCCCACTCCCTGATGATAGACATGTTGAGTTACTTGCCAGAGGGAAGATTTTTTACTAAGCTAGACTTGAGAGAAGCATACTACAAAGTGAGGATTAGGGAGTGGAAGACCGCATTCAATTACTTGAGGTGCTACCAATTCCAGATGTTGCTGTTTGGATTACAAAGGGCAACAGCCATGTTCATGCAGCTGATAAATGAAGTCTTACATGAACTCTTATACAAAGGAGTGCTGATGTACCAGAAGGATATTTTAATTTACACAGAGACCATGGAAGAGCATGTAAAACTAGTGAGGACTGTGCTAAGGAAGCTGCTAAAAGCCCAGCTATATGCAAAGCTATCTGTGACTTGTGACTTCCACAAGACCAGCTTAGACTACTTAGCGTACCATATCTCCAGAGAGGGGATAGAAATGGACTTGGGGAAGGTGAAAGCAATCTTAGAATGGGAAGCCCAAACGACCAGGACACAACTGCAGAGTTTCCTAGGATTCACGAACTTCTATAGATAATTCCTTCTCACTTTTGCACAGATAGCACTGCCCATCACAAATCTATTCAAAACAGGGAAGGACTGAGTCAACCCTTGAATTGGACTATCAAATGCCAAGTGGTTTTTGAAAAGCTAAAGAGACTTTTTGCTACTGAGCCAGTCTTGAAACATCCCAACCCAGAGGAGCCATTCATGATCCATGCAGACACTAGTGATGTGATCGTGGGGCAGTTTTATTGCAGAGAAAAGAAAGGGAAGGACTGCAGTCTTGCATCTATATGTCTTGGAAACTGTCTGACACCGAGACAGTGAACAATCTGGGAGAAGGAGGCTTATGCCATCTGCAAGGCTTTCCTCACCTGGAGGCAGTTTATAGAAGGCTGTAAAATTCAATTTGAACTTTGGACTGACCACAAAAATCTGGAAGCACTGAAGACCCCAAGGAAATTTTCCCCTTAGCAAGTGGACCCAGTACTTTAGCCAGTTCGATTTCATCATGTGCTATTTGCTGGGGGGCAGCGGGGGAGAGGGATGCTCTCATGCGCCTGCCTCAATATAAAACAACTAGAAAAGAGATAGTTAATTCTTTCATTCCATCCAAACAACTTGCAGTTCCAGCTCCATGAGGCAACCACAAATGAGCTCCTCTTGGTCAGGAGAAGACACACTGACCCAGCAACTGAAAGAAGCCTGAGGGTGGGGGGAATGAATGATTTCAAAAACATAAGATGCTGGATCAAAGCTTAGCTTGGAAGAGGGATAAAGTATATGTCCCAGCCAGCCAGAGAACTATGGTCCTACAAAGATCTCATGACACGAAGCCAGGGTTTTGGGTTTGTAAAAACCCCGCATCTTATAAAAAGGCAGTTTTGGTGGCTGAAGATGAAGAAGGACATAGGACATAAAAGGACATTTGCTAGACCAATACTCGAATACAGCTCATCTGTCTGGAATCTGCACAGTATATCGGACATTAATACAATTGAGCAAGTC